TAATCAGCACCACATAATCACAGTTCCTTGCACCCTACAAATATGAAAGAACTAACCTTCCCAGTATGCCTGTGCATCATTCACTGGGGCTGGAGCTAAAGACTCAGATTCAAGCTGTGACAGTAACAAACGTTAGTAATACTTTGCTAAAAATATTACATTTTTATGTCATTATTTATTTATTTTGGATGGTTAATTTTCGAGTCTCCATTTCAAAATACTGAGGTGCTCATTATATAAGTTAAATTCATAGAGGTTTATTATCTAAGTTTAAATTATGCAGTCCCTTGTGACCTCTGCAGGCACCTTGAAATTCAATCCCTCCTCCACGGAGGATATGGATGTAGAGTTTTGTGAATGTCAGCTATTGTGGAGCTATAGCAGAAAGGTACCTGGTTTTCAAGTACTTCCATGAAGCATTAGGAGGATGAAAGCTAGACATGAGAAGACTGTGGAAATGGAGCATTCATAGGAAGTCCCAGACTCATTAACTGAGCACCCATGGATGTATGAAACCTAGCAAACAACTGAGTCAATAAAAAAGCACTTCTTGTCCCTTGGCTAACAAAATTGAAACTGGTACTTGGTTCAGCAGAACCACTTAAGTTTACATACTGCAGTTTCTAGCCAAGTGACAGCTGTTTGGGCAAAAGTATCAACATACACCAAGGCTGTCCTTAACATTAGGAAAGCACAAAATAACCCATCTAGATTAGTAATTCCTTCACAAAAATAACCTGAAAACCAGAAAAGTACCAGCCACTTCAAAATTATGCCACATCATATGTGACAAATTTCAGGATACATTAACCTCAAACAACACATGAAACAGCAATTACCTGTTAAAAGTATTATAGTAGATAATACTTGTATATAGACAAGAGGGTGTATTACTTTCTCCTACTTCTCCCAGGCAGTTACCATCACATAAAGAAGCTTCAAAAATATTCTGTAGTGTTTACAGTTGTGAAGCAATTCCTAAAAAAATCCCCAGGCACCAGTTTGAAACAGTAGCTCTGTTACAGAAGAACTGTAAAAACCCTCTAATTTATCCAAATGGTCTAGTGATTTATCCGAAAGTCTAGTGATAGTCAAAATTTACCCTAGACGTAAATCAGTTAATTTTCACCCCAGCTAGCACCCTGAACCAGCTCCTCACTCAGTCCCATGAGTTCTACTGCTGGCTCCTGGGAGGAGCATGTGAGCAGGAGAGGCAGTGCTGGCTGTGGGCCACCTAATCCACCGGGTCAAGTTTCAGCTGCAGCAGCTCCCTGGGAGGTCTGACCGCAGGTAAACTGGACGGATCTGCTCCCTCCCAGCCCGCTCGGACACCCAGGGCTTGTGCTGCAACAAGAGGTGGCCAGAGCTCACCTAACAGCAGAGTCAATTTATCTGGCAGTGGAAGCAAAGTCTGCAGTGAAGTTTCCTGGTGGATCAATCACAGGAATCAGCTCACGTTGTGGTGAAAAGTATCAGATTTGACGTAAAAGGGCAGCAGAAAACTGGAGGACCTTGGTGGCACTTAGCAAAATATGAAAACAAAATAGCTGTCCTTATTCAGAGTAATGGCTGTTTAAACTTCACCAATAAGCACTGAGTCCTGGTCGCTGGGCAAAATTCCTGAAGTTTGTTTCAAGGTTGTCTGAGTAATTAATGTGTCTCTTAGCCTCGCACAAGAGAAAAACAGAAAGACTGAGACTAAATTTCTCCTGTGCATCTAGAACACGAATAAATGCGGGGGTAATTAAAAAAACCTGACTGTTTGCATGTTAAGCTATTCACCACCCAGTGAGGAATAGCACTAGGGCTGGTAGAAGGGGAAGGCAGGAACGTGCTCCGCACTTCCACTGCCAGGAAGCCTCACCCCGCAATTCCCTCGGCGCGCTCCGCCCGCAGCTCGTCCATCCCCACAGCGCCCGTGGAGCAGCTGCTCCAGAGACGGCGGGGAGCGGCTGCCGTCAAACCACACAGCGCCTCTGGGGGTAGAAAGCCCTGGGGGGAGGCACGGGCGGCGGTCTGAGGCGAGAACTCCTCGTTCCCCCGCCCTGAGGTGCGGGCTCCGGACCCTCCCCAGCGCTGCTCCGGGCGGTTCTGCGGGGGGATGCTGCCCGCGCTGGGCACCGCGCTGCCGGGGATGCTGCTCCTGAGCTCCGCCTGGCCCTGCTTCTTCCAGGACCTCCGCTTCGCCCTGGCCATGGCCCTGGTGGCGATGCGGGCGCAGAGAGCGGGTGCCTGCACCGTCCTGGACACCTTCGCGGGGCGGGCGCGGCCGGCGCCGCACAAGCCGCTGATGCTCTTCGGTGCCGAGGTGTGGACTTGCCAGGCGGCCCTGGCGCTGCGGGACTTTCAAAATGCCTGCCGTCTATAATTCTGATGCTCTTTCCAAAGAATTTGGCATGCAGCAAGCTGAAGCCTTAAGAAAATCTAATTCCTTAGGTATCTAAAGGAAGGTGTGTTAGAATTTTTCTAAGTTGGCTTAGAAGGAAGGGTTCACTGATAGGAGAAAGAAGATTAAATAAAAGACAAAAGAGGTTAGCCTGAAGTTCAGATTTATATATAAACTACAGTTATTTACTGTCATTATTCCTCCAGGCTATGAACAGGAATGGTCTGTATTCCACTAAAAGAAAACTGAATTTAGCAAAGAAAGTACTTACAGACACATCATCACTCACCTTCCAAACTATGCAAGACCTCGTTTTATAAGAATTAAGGTAAACTAGTGGTCCTACCTAGTCTGTGTGTCAGTGTTTTCTCTGTTTCCTATGATGACTCTGAACTTCCCAGTTACACTATAGCGATTCTCAAAAAGGCTGCTTTTGTTTCCCACTTGCTCCAGTCATTTACTAGTATAAGAGTAGAACTGCAGCCAGATGTTTCAGTTCAGCCTGAAAAAAACAAGTTGCATGAGCAGTTACAGGATACTTGGAACATTTTAACATACAAAATCAGGAAGATCTCATTGGAAAATACATTTCCTGTTGGATACCTTCAACACAGTAATACAGCTGTGCTCTCAGTTTAGTGTTGCTCCCTCCACCGACTGCTCTGTGCAAAATAAAGATCCACACATAAACAAAAGCTTGCAAGAGAAGCATTAGATTTTTACCCTGCCAGTGAAAAAATAGCCAAATTCTAAACTGAAATTTAACTTGAATTAGGAAAATGCTGCAAGAATGTCACTCTTTCTGTATTTGGAAGTTGAGATAAACTGCTCTTTTGAGAAAGGTGGTGTATCTGAGGACTAGAACCAGTTGTGCCTTGTTGTTTAATTGATCTTTAAACTTTTGAGTTATACAAACAAAACAGTTGACGAGTCAAGGTAGTGCTTTGTCTTGCCATCCATGTAAAGTACAGCAAGTCTTGCCCAATCTCCAAATGGCATTTTCTTTGTTCTAAGAAAAATTCTGGTTTTTGATCTGAGAACATAACTAAATAATATTCTGGATAAATCCCTTGATTCTCTCTGACTAGAAGCTGAAAACTACTTTCTCATGCCTCATTTAAATAGAATACTAAGGTAAACCTGTCAGGTAACCCTTAGAATACTAAGGTAAACCTAATGTTCCTAAGGCCCCAGCACTTCTTATATTCAGAGTAACTACTGGCTCACCTACTCCATAGCTCAGATATTATCTGGTGAATAGAGATAGTTTAGACCTCTATTAGTAAACCTTTAACTTCCATGTATGGATTTTCTTTAAATACTATTTCCTTGAAATTTAGAAAATCCAATTCCCACAATTATATGTTGACATTCATGAGTGTAATTGTAATTTTGTTTTGTAGAGCACCACTGAACTTACAGCAACCTTGAAGTACTGTAAAGTACAACTAACAGAGGAAGGTTTCAACTCAGCAGTCATCAAAGACTGCCTGTATTTCCTGGATGACAAAGAAAATGTGCATGTACAAATAACCCAGGACATTTATAACTCAGTAAAAAAACATGATTTCAAACTGAGCATGTAAAAAATCTGTGTTTTATAATACTCAGTTTTTAAAGCATCTGTTATTCTAAGCTGGCCGTGAAATCCTATTTATTAATACTAGCAAATATTGATTTAATAAAACAGAACTTGTCCAACTCTTATCTTAGCTGACAAGTTTAGCTGATGTTGTATAAGGGCCCAGACATTGTTCTGATAAACCAGGCTCATTGTTTATGTAACTTGAGAATAGTTGTTCTGGGTCACGTGGAAGATCCATCTGTTGGAGTGCACTGCCTTCAAGATGGGGTGACTGTAGGTGTCTGGAAGGAAGGCAGCAAGCATCTAGCAGTGCTTTCCCAGAATAATCTCCTAGGAATAACTGTGCTTCCTGACTCAAAACATCTCTTCATTTAATTCTGTCCTTAATAGATTTTTCTCCCCCTAATTTTTTTCATTATTTTTTGAAAAATACATGAATCATTGGCCTCTCGTAGCAATACATTTGTTGGCTGCATAAAAGACCTTTCTTCCATAATGCCCCTTTAATTCTTTTATCGTAAGAGAGGGTGAAGTATCATTCCTACTCTCTTTCCTCATGAATTTGTGATCTACAGACCTTAGGTAATGCTGAGAAAGGCCACAGGTGCTTTGCAAGGGCAACTGCTGTTGCAACATGGTTGCATAAAGCCTCCTGTGCACAGTAACTCATTAGCACAGATGGAAAGGCAGGGCTGCTGTGTTTAACTGCCAGTTTTAAAATTCCCCTAATGCAGAAAAATATCTGGGGGAGGTTACATCCTTCTTTTTGCATCGTTCAGAACTAAGTTGGCACTGGCTGCACACACAGATCCTCACAGCATTCTAAAGAGCTCAAGTCAAGGTATCAAAAAAAAAAAAACAAACAAAACCAAAATCAATGATGCAAATAGAGACCTACATTGTTTCCCCCTACTGAGGCCTGTATAATTTGTCAAAATTGTTTCAACCTACCAGCTGGAAACTGTCCATTATGGGGATGGATAAGGCAGAAATTAGCATTTTCTTTACCACAGTCTACAAAACACAGGGTTTCATGTTATATGCCTACAAGATTTATTTGACATTTTAATCTATAAATACATGAGGTTTTCACCAGTAAAAGCACAGGAATTTTCTCAGTGGCTGTTGCCACTGCTTACATATTGAACAAAAGAACATGTGGTATTGCATATGATTAAGCAAACTTTGGTTCTCTTTTTAAGGACCAAGCTCTCTTACTTGTTAAACAATGGCTTGCAGAGGACAACAAGGCAGCTGAAGGCCACACTGAATGCTACACTCTGGAAAGCTTGGGACACTGTAGAACTTAATTAGTTTTTTGAAGGCACTTTTTTTGAACATCATCATGTCTTCGGGGAGGCTGGAAAGAACTCTGGCACTTGCACGAGACTCCTCCTTGTCAGTGGCTGCAGCTTTGGGGTTACATTGCTCAAGACTACCAGTCACTGGCACGCTGGTGCAGCTAAGGGAACGTGCTGTCTTTTTCTTGCCTTGAACAGATAAATAACTGAATAAAAAAGAGGTTAACTTATGTTTGGTAACATCCTGGACATCTTCTGGAAAACAATCATCTAGAGGATCCCCTTGACCTTTCACTTGTTGACTTATCACACATGTACTGGGACTCACTGATAACTTCTTAGGCTGAACTACTGTTTTTCTGGAAGGTGGTTTAGATTTCCCTCCATCTAGATAAAGCTGGGAAGCGTTACTAAGGGCATCAGAACTGGGCTCTACTACCATAGCAGGGATTCTTGCCCCATCATCAGAAGTGATGCGGTGCAGCCCATAATTCTGGCTAACAATCTGGGCTGCAGTGTGTTGAATGATGGCCCAGTCTCGCAGAATGTCTTCCCTGGTTGTGAACTGAGATGTTACAGTAAAGCGGATGATGAACTTGTCACGAATGGTTGCTGGAATGAGGAAGAGCCTGCCAGAACTGCTCAGTTCTTTCAGGAGTTTTTCTGTCAGCCAGTTGGGACCCTGTTTGAAATGTGAATAAGAAAAAGAAATACTATAGTTAGAATTTCCAGTGACATCCAAACATCTTTAAGAACTGCGATCACAAATTCTTACATGAAAGTTTATTCACCGTTCTTAATGTCTGGGGAGAGATCAGCTGTGGTCAATTAATTCCAAAGAGAAATACAAAAGGTCTTATCTTTACCTTTAGCCGAAATACAACCAGTCCAAGATGCCTCTTCGCAGGAATTTCAAAAAGTGGATCACTTTTAACCAAGGACTCAAAGAATTTGGCTGTTTCAGTACCCTATAATTAAAGAAACCTTAATTAACCTATAACGCTAGTTATATATTGGTTTGTCACAAACCACTACACACTGTAAGACACTAAATTAGATAGTTAAAAAGACTTCCTTTCCTTACTAAAACACATCATTCCAATGCATGAATAGCAGAAAACAGAAGAATAACAAAGTTAACAATTTTAAAGTCTATTTGCCCAAATCCTTGACAACGAACATGAGTAACTGGACTATACATAGGGATTTTCTAGAAGAACATTTGAAAACAATGTGCCTTCTCAGATTGGAGTCCTTTGGCAGCAACCACTGATCCACAATATGATCCTTGTATTTACTCTCCATCAGAAACTTAAGCCTGTACATTTTCACAGTGGTGGGTTCAGCCTTTCATCCCAGCCTGCCTCCCAAACAGCTGCCTCAAAGAAAGCTCCTACAGATTGGTACTCAGTAACGTGCAGAAGGCTGTGACTTACCCACTCGCCTGCCATTGCCTGTTGCTTCCAAGAAGGGGACAGGAAACGTTTTGTCTACGCAGTCAATCTTTACAGATTACTTAAGAGAACACATTTAGTGTTCACATGCAAGCTTTGCATGTTACTCATCTTTGAACCTCTGAACTCACTAATCTCAGCTACCAAGAAATGAACATAACACATGTATGGTTGCACTGTTAATTCACATACATGTCGGACGTGAGCTTGAAGCTTTTTCACCCCGAACGAGCGAAGCACAAACCACAGCTTCAAAGAGCGGAATCGGCGACTCAGTGGAATCTGCCAGTGCTGTGAAAACACAACAGTGCCTCAGTGAGTGCAGAAACAACAGAAAAGAGACTTCTGACTCAGGTCAGAAATCTCTGTTGAGACAAATATTGTCATATTACTGAAAATCTGCTAAGCTTAGGACACAGCCATCAAAGAAACACTGTGTCTCCATATATATCAGTTATGTGCAAAAACAACATTTTGGCTATTCCCCTTAATCTATGGCCTGGACATGATTAGAATTTTAAGTTAATTACCAGCTAATAACAACAACTCTTTGCATTTTAAGAGCATGATCAATTTAAGATGTTGCCATTTACACTTTAAGACTCAGTGCTCACTTCAGTTCCTGTAATTTGCATATTTAAGTGCCATCCTAAACAAGAATTGGTACAGGGGTAGAACTGATTCTACAGTAGGTAGAATTGATACCGTTCCAGATGAAGTAGCACCTATGCAAAGAAAAGAGTAAGAAAACATATAAAGGAGTATTTCTAGAGAGCTACACAATCACGTGCAGGATCCAATTTAACCACAAGGGGGACTCTGTATCTTTTTTTTCCATCCCTCCCTCCACTTGCACTTTAGTGAAAGCCACTATTGATTTCAATAAAACAATTATCTTTTCAGGACTAGGGTGAGATCATAGCAGAAATAATTGGCAGTGAATATTCCTTTGTATTACTGTACTGAAATCTGTTGTAAGAGGTATCTGAAGAGAAATGCCTCTTGGCTCTTCTGTGAATACCTTAATCTGAAGAAAAATGTAATTCAGTCTCCTGCTGTTTCAGAGCATCGTGTTTCCATTCCTTACTCCTTTCTCTCTTTTATTACATGTCAGAGTTACAAGAAATCCAGCCAAAATGGCATCAGTAGGAATTACTTCAGCAATACAATGCACAGAAATGACCCTTCTCATTAAAAAGGCAAGGCTGGATCTCTATCTGTGTAAAAATCTTAAGTACTTCAATCTGAAAGAAATTTTATAATTAATCTTCATAACCAGGGATCACTGCAAAGTTTTATTATTTACTTTGTTTTAGGATCTAAGTATAATGGATTTATGTAATCAGATCATCTATAAGATAAGCATGCTCCAGAGTGTGAGGAATTTCACTGTTGTTTGAACATTTTATATGCAATATAAAATATCAACTTAAATAATAACTTACCATGAAGTCAGTTGCAGCTCCTGAGTTGGCATGTCTGAGGTAGACAGGGTTAACACTGAAGGTTTGATGTAATTTGTATTTATCCTTAACCCTATCAATTGCAGAAGGAACTGGATTTAGCAAAATAAGTGCAGAGAAATACTTTGCAATTTGCATGGTATTCTTACGGTGTTGTCTGCATTTTGCCTTTACTCACCAAAATCCAGTGCAGTCAAAATGAACCATCATCCATTTAGAAGGGTTAAAAGTAAAGGAATCTGCATATTCAATTCCTTCCAAGAACAGCCTAAATTCAGGACATACAAATGCTGTTCCTGCATATGCAGCATCAATATGAAGCCAGAGTCCCTCAGCATCACCTGTTGGAATTGAGATTGTTGTTATGTAAGAGCCATAAGGAATCAAAGTGCATGCTTAATCTCTCCTCTCTGAAAAAAACAGGTGTATTTTTCTGGAGGAGGTAGACAAACTATTGACAATCTAGTTTTATTCTAAAGCTGTGGATCCATAACCCCAAAATACAGGATAATGCTGAAATCAGGTGGACACTATAACAAAATTCATTATTTCATATTTGATGTGAGTCTTCTTAATGACTGATTTCTCTCCCCTGCCCTTTTACTACATGAAATTCCCCAGTACCACTTAGTTGCACAAAGCCAGAATAAAGACACTGGGGCAAGCAGAAAGGACCCAGGAATAGAAGCCACAATCTGATCCATAGCAGAAAGCACCTCAGGTATTCTGAAGCTACTGGGCAGAATTGATGCTGGAATAGAATCTGCAACCATGTCAAATTTACCTATGGAACTGGTGGATCCAAAGGATGTCCTACCAGAATCTACTTTCAAAAGCCCTTTGCTAGGTTAAATATTTATGTATCCATCCTATAACAGTATTGCACAGTCTGTATTTCCTGAACAAGCACATTAAAGATTTATCAGTTGGCAAATTTCATCCATCTTGAATAGAATGTATTTTAGCATCCCAATCTAAAACTTAACAGAGATCACCACAAAGTCTTGTACTGACTTCAGCGATCCCTGAGACACGTCTGAAAAACTCAGCTGATCGGTGTTTCTACTCTCCTTGGGTTTGGCATGCAAAAGTCTCCCTATCTTTTATGTGCTTTCATAGTTTAAAATCAGGGGAAAAAAAAAAAAAGACACTTACAAATTGGACCCAGTTCTGAGAGACTGTCAAAAGCACAGACACCAGTTGTACCCAAAGTTGCACAAACCTAGAAAAAAAACAAACCTATTAAGATGGATTGGGTTTTTTTAAATAAATGGATGCAGCACTTTAAAAGTGGGCAGGTTAGGTAGACAGTCAAAATCTTAAAAATTTTCATTCAATACAATAGAAACTCTTCTATACATTTTAACATTCAGTAAATGTATTCTAACACAATAAGAAATGTTTCAGATGAAATTTTATCTTGACATTAAGAATACAACAGTATGCCAATACCCCCAGTCAGAAAATTGAACATACAAAGACAGGTACGAGGCCTTTCTTTCTGTCTTCTGCAATGGCTTTCTTCAAAGTTTCACCTCTGAGGGAAAAGTTCTCATCCACAGGCAGAAATTTTATCTTCACAAGGGAAATCAAGCCAGCCTTTTCTACGGAAGAATGTGCCTGTAAAATAAGAAAAACAGTAAGAACTCAAGCTCTGAGGTTGAACAGCTGTGGTAAGTTATGGCCTTAAGAAAGACAGTGGTGGCAAGAAATACAGAGGTAATGTCCTTCTTGTCATCCATGTTAATACAAGTCTGAAAGTGACTTCTCTGTGAGTATCTATATAAAACAGTACACTGTAATTCCAAGGAATACTTCATTTATTTGGGTACTTGTCTCTAAAAAAATATATAGTAATAGGCATCCTCATCTGGTGTTTGAAGGGCCATTTATCAAAAATTAGTGCTTAAAGGAGTCTCTAGAAATGGATCAACTCCAGTTTATTCCCTCCTCCCTGCCATAAGAAGATAAATCCCCCAAATGTGCTTACTTCTGGGTAGACCCAAAACACTCCACAAGAAAAAGTCCTTTTAGTTATACTAAGAGACAACCAGCATGAGTGTCTCTCCTGTTGCAGTTCTCACAGGAAAATACAGTTGTTCAGTTCAGGAGCCCAGGGACAGAACAGGTTTGCAGGCAGAGGCCCAGAGTGGAGCCCACAACTGGGAGCAGCACTGAGGTAACAGCGCCTTCAGTGTGCCTGTTCTGAGTGGAAGGAGGTTGTGAACAAACAAGAGCCGGAGCAGCATGAGATCAGCACCTAGTTACTGGGGTAAGGCTTTGTGAAACACAGGAAGGAAGTTTAGCAATGAGTCATGTGGAACAGTCTCATGAGGACTGCCAGGACCCTACGAAACCTCGCCTCACACTGATTTCATTTCCTCAGCCGCAGAAAGCAGTGTCAGAGGAACTGGTTCATGCTTGTGAGGCACTCTCTTGGTAGAGAAATGCAAGTTCACATTGCATAGTCTGAGTGAGACAGAAGAAGCACAGTTGTTTTCTTTGTAATCATAAGAACCTACTTGATCAGATGCGTAAGCGATGAGGCGAGAATTGAGCGAGGACTCATCGGCGTCTGGCTCGGAAACCTTCATCTCTAGAATTTTGTTCTTCCTTGCTGCTAGCAGTGCAACCAAGGTGGATTCACTCACAGTGCTCTGCAAAGACATTGATCATTTACTGCAACTTCGTTGCTATCTTGCCAGGGATTTACTGAAGTCAGTACTCAGCTGCCCACCCCCTCTTTTATTCCTGCTACTGCTTTTAACTGCTGTATTTTTTTAATGTGCAGGACTGAGTTGGGGGGGAGTAAATAAATCATACTTTCCTTTTGTTCTACAGATAAAATGTACTATTTCCCATAAAATTACAAATGTAAGCAAAACCCCTTATAACAACACAGAACCTCAACACTAATTCCAGGGGATACTTGCTTAAGCCTTCCAAAAGGAGGTAAAGGTTCAGGCCTTGATCTTGCACCTCTCAGAGACACAAAGAAGACACACCAAAAAAAAGAAAAATATTTTTTTATGTGGCTAAGGACTGTGGCAGAAGGACAGTGACAACGATTTGTTCTCTAATTATGTAAGAATCACTTTAGTGTATGATTTGGTGATGTGAAACAGACTGAAGAAATGAAATTTGACTCTCATTTATCTTTAAAAAGGCCACAAGAGTACCTGCTGCTTGTCCATAACACAGTTAGCACTAAAAGCAACAGCAATTCTTATTCTATAATCTTCCACATTTAATACTAAAATTTGGGAAAATAATGCCAAACTAGAATTTGTCTCTATTCAGACCCAAACAGAGAATCTTGTTGGTTTTGCCTCTAGGAAAACTATCACCCAGAGGGAAATTCACTTGAGTGAAAACAAAATGTTGATGAGACCTCCTCTAATGCCACCTACCTGTAATACTCCTCCACCCACACTGTCAGGATGATGGTGCAGGAATTTTTCTGGAAGCCCCAGCATTTTAGCCAACCAATCCATCACATTCATTTCCAGTTCTGTACAGGCTGGGCTGGAAGCCTAGAAAGATTTTAAAAAGAAAGAGAATCAGACTGTAATTCACCCTGGGCGCTGATCCCTCTTTCAGCTCAGAGCTAAAGGAGACAGTGAGCTGATCTGATACAACTACATGGAGACAATACCCAGCAATTTCTTATAGGTTTATGAGCTTCTACTGCTTTCTTACACAGCGACACACACCTAAAAATCTGGGCAACTTCACCACTGGGGAGAACATCGGCTTAGAAGGCTACTGAGATAAGCAGAGTTATAACAAAGTAGCGCCGTGTAGCTGCTGCAGGAGGATACAAAATACTCAGGTATTTTGGGCCAGGCCACCAAACAATTATTTTCAGAAGAGGAAAAATAGGAAATGTGTTCTCTCAAAGGAGCAGGAGAACTGGACTGGAGCCCAATCTAGCCTGCAGTCAGGGATGGTGGTTGCTTTATTGCCTGCAGTGCTTGTGTAACAATCTTGGCACTGAGATTAGATGACAGGGAACAATGCTCTCAGTGGGGTCTGCAAAGAACTAGAAAACAGACATTTCTAATGGTATATTTTCTTCATTCACCTCTTACTACTAGGTAATGTTTGGTTTTATGCATTCTTTTGAGGTTTTTTTTTTAAGAGAATTTTTCACTTATGCAAACAACATAGAGTTGGTTAAAGCAAATAATTATACTGACTCAGAGAACAAGAAAGAATGACTACAACCTGCTCTTGCATATTACACACAGGAAACAAATATCTAAAATAGTCCAAAAAAAAAATTACCCATGTGAATCCCAAGCAGTTAATTGCATCAGCCAACATATCTCCAAGGAGTGAAGGCCAGGAAGTAAGAGCTGGAAAGTAGGCATGCATGTGTGGACTTTGCCAATGGACTACCTAGAACAGAATTATCTAGAAGTTAAGTCTGCAAATGTCATAAAATTCTGCCTGAGATGTATCAATTATCATTAGATCTTTGAAGTGATGGAAAAGGATCACAGCAACATAATATGTGCAACTATACATCTGCTAGCAGAAAGCTGCAGAGATAATATCAATAGGAGTGCAGCACTAGCAGATGATAACACTGTGTCATTGTTAGATAAATTCCAAATAACAGCAAAAGCATTTATCTGAATTAAACAGGCAGACAAAGATTGTGAACAGGAAAGAATGTTGTGCCATGTACAAAAGACCAGAGTCAGAATGATTTATCAAAATTTTTATCTTTGTAAAGGGAGTCCTTGCAACAAAGTTACTCTTGCTCAGTTTGTCAAACAAAAGAAGTAGCTAAGCACAGCCATCTACAATTATATAACCCCCTCTGTACACCTGACGGGAGACCAGCATAAGCATGTGTAATGTGAATACCTCTCCTACATCAGATCAAGTTTCTGCAAACATCTATAAAAAAATTTGAGAATAGACTGAGCTTCTTACATAAAACATGTAATTTGATAATATGAACTCCCTTAGCAGAAAATCTGCAGTACTTATGTACAAGAGAAACAAGACCTTTACATTCAAAGAACAGGAGACAGGTCTTACATGTACACAACTGCTGTGCCCAAGTTTCCACATCTCTGAAATAGATGTTATACAGGTCAGCAGGTAGAGACATTGTGAAGCTAGTGATTTTCTGACACTGGTGAATTTGTTTCTCTATAAGCAAATATGAGTTAATGTATAAGGTACTTCAAAAATACATTCAGTCTATTCCTTAAAACTATAGGTAGGAACACAACAGTAATCTCCAGAATCCTCCTGTGGACATAATGTCTACAAGACTTATTCTATATTTTTGGGGTACTTTACTCATTTAGATACATGTTCTGCAAAACCTGTGCATTCCCAGGATTTGGTGTTCACCCCAGGCAACAAGGGCTTTTTCCTGTCATGATTACACTTTATTGCTTACCCCTGGCATAATAATCTTCTCTATGTCTCCAAAGATGTTGTCCCAGCTGTCTGGGTCCATTGGGGCAGAATCCGGCAACTGGGCTCTCATGTAACCTGGCTGTACATCGGGAGTCACCCGTCTCTCTCTCACATTGCTCAGGTACTGGCAAATGTAATCCACCATCTCTTTCCCTGGAAGAGGCAAACCAGTGTTTTGAGTTTCAATTATGAGAAAACGACCCAGCAGTACCAGCACTCCACACAATCTGTCATTAGCATGGGAATACTGCTCCCAGCACTGCCAGCACAACTGACCTCCCTCCTACACCCTACTGGTCCCATCTACTAATGTAGGGACACAGCTTCCAGAACAGGCATCATGGGGACAGAAGAGACTCACAGGGTTATTTCAGTGTCATCACTGAATGGTTCAAATGTACCTTTAAAACATAGTCAGGGTACAAGTACAGTTTGTTTGATTACCAAGAGATTAGACTTTCTTGCTTACAAATTAACTGAAACTGCATTTCACAGGAATTAAATTTTCAAAAAGCCCCACACTTCCTTGTCACTATAGCATACCCCCTTTTGCATCCTCTGAGAACAGCTGCACAGCTCCACACCTCTTCTCCACTTTTTAAGGCAATCTCCTCCAGCCCTGGGACTCAAGTTTGCTCCCCATCTCCAGAACTGTATCAGTATCACAGTGTCGGCTGGGGAAGAGCTAAGAGCTAAGAGCTGTGCTATAAACCCTTAGCACAAGTTTATTCAGAATTACAGTTTTGCAGCTTTCCCACAGTATCTTAAAAATAAGACCAAAAAGGCTAAGTTACCCATGGACTCGACATCCATTAACTTAAACTCAACCCTGGGGCAAATCTTTGTCTCAGCCTCAGCAGATCCAAGTCTCAAGAACATATGCAAATAAAGAGTATATAGCCCATCCTAATTTTGGGGACCACTCCCAGCCCTACCATAGTCGATGTCCACGAGTAAGTGATACCGATGTGCAAGAGCCAAGGATCACTCACCTCTCTGTCTGTACTCCTCAGGCTCCATACTGATTCCTTACAGAAGCACCTCTTCGAACCTGGGCCACGACCTTTGGGGAGCTGTGGGCAGTTCACTCTGGTGCCCTCCTGGCTGCTTCCCCCTTTATAGCTCCCCTTCTCTCTCAGACTCATGCATTCTGGAAAAGGCTTAACGTAGGCAGGTTATTGGTGAGTGTTTATCTAACTCCTCCCAATTGAGGGCTTTTACAATCTCTCATGTTCTCGTCTGTGCCCTTTTGATGTGTAAGATAGCGTATCGCTAAGAGGAGCTGCCTCTGCACTACCCCTTCCCCATTTTCAATCAATCTTTCAGAAGTCTCACAGTAATCCATGTCATGAATATAAGGCACATTAACATAAGACTTAAGCTCAAGAACTTCCAAACCAAGTAAAAGCCAGCAGATGTTACACTAGCACACCCAACTATTGTGCTAGTCATTAAAACAAGGCACCACCACAGAACAAATCTGCAGACAGGGAAGGAGGGTTTTTTAAGAATTGTTTTGAGAATTCCCAAAACAACAAGAATATACTTACACCCTCACAAGTCTTCAGTCTTTACACTTTCAGTCCCGTGCTGCTAAAAGGAAAGGCTTTACAGCTATTGCCAATTCCAGAACTGTAATACAAAGCAGCAATGATCTTCTTAGTGGATTTCCTGCCTTTCCAGATCAGAGCAGGTTACACAGACCAGGGTGATGTTCCTCCACAGCTATCATCCTAGATTGTTGAGCTGGGAAAATACATATTTTCCCCCTCATCATGCTTGCTTTCCTCACATATGATACACATAAGAACTGGGATTTGGTCTTGTCTCTCCAGAATTCCTCCAAGTCCTCCACCTGGACTATTCTGTTTAAAAGGACAGTCACGTATAATCCCCCTTGTTCAGTTTTAGGACCTGAAAACACATCCTGACCTATCTCTGCCAGCACAACCTTTGACACTGTACTCACTGCTGAGCACTTGCCATCTTCACTTGCTCTACACTGCAGGAAGCAGCCCTGGGCAAAGAGAGAGGTAGGATTTGTGGACTAAGCACCAGAAACTACTATCAGTACATAAATTCTTGCCCTAGTTTTGCTGCACCTCAGGCTTCTGCTTAGGACTGGCCCTGCTGGAGACAGGACACCAGGTCAGGCAGAGCCTTCATCTGATACACAACAGCGGTTTCGCTGTTCTCGTCACACAGAAGAGAACTGACTGCCAGAGCAGCTTGAATTCTCTGCCTCTTGTACCCAAATACAACCCCAACGCTTTCATAGTTCTAGAAAGTTGTTACATTGTTCCCACAGCCCAATGTCTACAGAACAGCGTAAGACCTCTCCTAGGTCCTGCTGCAATTAGATATTTGAGAAGGAACTGTTTTCTAGATATGACAAAGATGCTCCGATACACACACATCAGATTAACACACTGAAATAAAAAAACCCAAAATGATAAAAAGGCATTAGAAGAGGTGGAAATAAAATACTCTATGCATATTCATCTGTTTTCTCACATTTCTCTGGAAACATCAGGAGATAAGTAACAAGCTGCCCACACACTTCATATCAATTTATTAACTTCTCTTGTCTTTACTGTAAATGATCCCATAAAGGAAAACAAGAAAGGTGAGAAGGTGCATCAAGCACAGGACCAACTCAAGAAGAGCCCAAAGTTCCCCCAAACTGTGATTCTAGCTCATTACAAGTAACTAATACGTAAAATATATAAACATCTGTTCAAAGAAACAGATGGTAGCTAATTACATTTTGTTTTTACTTTGGAACAGCAAATAAGGAACAGTATTTTTAACAATGTTTTCAGAGGTAAACTATACGATAAATATTTCATGTGACATATACCCCACGCCTTGCTCAAGGGTGACAGTTTCATCAGCTTGGTCTCTTGTTCTGTGCAGAAGAGAACAAACAGCAGGTCCTGTTCGGAACTAGAATAAAATGGGTGATAATGAATTACAGGTAGGGTAAATATTGCTGATGATAAGGTTTTGTTATAGCTACCCTGCACTTAGTAGGATTTCATTATGGACAGTGAGGAATAGAATATTTGCTCACAGGAAACAGAATGATTGGAAAAGGTTCATTTCATTATTTGCTACAAAGGTCTGTGCTGGCTCAACCGTGGGAAACTCTGCATTTGGATGTGAACGTTGCCCCTCTCACCACTCAGACTGAGACTCTTATCATTATTAAGAACTCACAGAGATTACAGTGTTGTCAATTTTGTGGGATGTGATGACACAAGCATTAGTTTGATCACGGAATAATTCCATTGGAACAATGCCTAAGCAGCACATTTATCTCTACTAACTGGTTCCCGCGTTTGTTAGTGACGTTATGGATAGTTCCTGAAAAAACCCCTAAAAACAGAGCAATTTCCATGTAATCACTGCACAAGGCTTTCTTAAGTCCTAGTACCAGCACAATTATATCTTTGAAAATAGTTCTCCTAAAACTCACCACCACAGGTTTTTCATTTTTATTATCTTTTGATTATTTTTAGGTCAAATCTGCCAATCAGGATCAAATTTACCAACTATGTAACGATACTAGGATACTCAGAATTTTTTCCTAACTCCCAATTCTATAAACTGAAGTTTAATTTCGACCTGTTTGACAAAGTTTTGTACAGTACAATGCAATTCTCTGCCCACTCCTCCCTCCCACCATTTAAGGCCATTCTAAGCCTAAAACTGTTTCTTCATGTTTCTCCAAGTGCCCAACACAGAGGCTCTGACCTTCTAATGCACACACAAAACAATTGAAATGGAATCGATTCTGCACTACACATATGTGGAAAAGATATTTAATTGCAAAATAGAAAAAGTAGGCCAGAGTACAGTTTTAAGGGTAATTTTCCGTGTACAGTATAGATAAACCAGACTTTTTGCTTAAGTTTATATAAACAATTCCATAAAAGCAGTGAACATGGAACAACAAAGCAAAGCACAAAGAGTTTTATCTTACAAAAAACAAATCTGCACAGTAGTTCAAAATTTAATGTAACACAGCACTGAACAATCTTAAGGCAGCTCAGTCTAAGCACAGGACTAGAAGCCAGGAACTCCTGAGATCCATTCCCAGGTGACCACAGGTTCACGTGGTGTTATGCCAGTCATTTACCACTCCCTTGTGTTGCATTTATATACCAGTTATAAAACTGAGACAATAACACTTACCTGCCTCAGGCAGTGCAGTAAAGGGTTCTTTAAAAGATTTTACAATGCTCTGAAGATGTAACGTGCCATATAAATTTTAAGCATAATAGATCACTGCACAGACACACACAAACACAGTATCACAGTGAGGAACAATGATGCTGGGGAGGAAGAGCATCACTACAACATAAAAAAGTTACTTGTCCGATTGCATAATTAAAATGCAAAAGTCTGTTCAGAAAAAAATGTATCACTGAAGTAATTTCAAGGTTATTGGGAAAGAGAGATCAATAGGAATATTCTAAAATAAACACTATTTGTGTTCCAGTGGAGACATTCTTTTCTATTCATTACTGAACTTTAAAATGTTTGTACAGGAAAATCGTAAGACACACGAAGTGAAGTTTCAATGCCTCCACTACCAGATTTTGCCTCTTAATATGTAAATTAAGATTCTTTTTTATTCTTCTTAATTACAAATTACATTCTTCCAAGAAATATACCATCCACGATAAAACTGGCTGCTAGCTTAATTCAAATGACCTATAGGCTAAACATTTTTGTCATAATTTTTCTCATCTTTGCTGAAAAATACCTATGCAAGATGTACGTGTAGAAATTATAAAAACATGCAGCATATGTACAAACTGAAAAGTTTAAAAAATATTAGCTTCATATACATGTAAATCTACTTGGATATATCTGAAATTAAATATAAAAATTTCACCACCTAAAATAAAAAAAAACCAAAAATGGTTTTCAGAGAATCTGAGACAACTACTTAAAGCTGTACAAAGATTTCCACCTGGAAATGTCTTATTCAGAGAAGTTGTTTGAGTTGTTATCATATAGAAATAACTGTTATTTAATTTTGTCACATAATCAATTTTCAAGTTGTCAGCTTGAATCAACATCACCCTTAAAACTGTTCTGTTTTTCAGAAGTTAGATTCATACTAAAATCAAAAATTTCACAAAAACATTGGCTTTTCGTGTTTCTGGATCCCTTCAAAAAGATTTATCAACTCATTTTGAAACTGTAAAAAAACCAACTATTTACAGTATTTCATTTTAAATACTTTTCACAATTTCTAAATTCAGAGTTTTTATGTTACAAGAAATTAATCAGAGCTCACGGCTTAAGTCCAGTTATCAACTTGTAGCATCTTCTCTATCATGAAATCCCGTGTCTGTACCTATATAGTGTACAGTTCAAGATTGTACTGCAGGTTTTTGAAAGTAACAGGCTTTGCAGTGTGTTCATTTTTTATTAAACAGCTTCTTTATTAGTCTGGAGGCGGTTCATTGCCTCTAACTTCTGCCGATAGGCCTCTGCTTCTTGTTCCTTCTTTAGAAGCTGCTGACGGTATTTTTGTGCTTCTCTGTTTGCCTCATCCAGCTGTTTCTGAAGAGTTTCTCTTTCCTATTAGAAACAGAACCAGCAATACTTTGTCAAACAAGTATCAAATACAAGTTAAAAAGGCAAATACTTTTCCTTTACATGCAGCTCAAGTGCTAGGGTATCATGTAGGAACTGTTCAGCTCTTACTCAGGCAGACCCGTACAAATGCTGCTGTGCAAATCAGTTGTGAACTAACACCAGACAACTCCCCACAAAGTCTGGATACAGTAAACCTGAGTCAATTGAGCTGCAAAGGTACCATGCAAGTTTTCATCAAAAAAGAGCTAAATAAAAAAAGTGGAAGCATGGTGATTAAATATTCGCATAATATATTAACATTTCTCCAATGATTCAGTTCCCTTTGTTACTTTTTAAAATTGGAATCCCATCTAACAGGATTGTCCCTTGCTGTTTTATTTCTAATCAGATAATATAATGAAAAACTGCAACCTAACAGCTGTTTGTGCTGGAGAGTGTCAGCTGCTCACTAACCAAAATACACATCTCACTGGTCTCTAAATAATGATTGATACAATGCAATCCAGAGTTAGAATGACATCCCCAAGGACACCTCATCTTTATGAATTAACAGGCATTTAGCCAGATAAGCTTTTCCAATTCAAAAGCAGTAACTGAAAAAATCCTTACTGCAGTAATTGCAAAAGTTCTGTGTACAAATTTGTTGGGGATGGGTATAAAATGGTTTCCAAGAAAAATCATACAGGAAATGCCGCTTCCTCTGAAGCAGCCTTAGGAACTAAGGAGAATGCATTTCCATCTCCAGTGATGTAAGTACTTTCATTTTGTCTGATGCTGCACTGAGCCCAATAGAAAAAGCAATTTGCTTGGGAAATAGCTTTGTTTTGATCTTCAACCAAATACCATTTCATTAAAGTGCATCATACTTTATGAGTAAGGTAGTATTAGATTTAAAATCATTCTTTTCACTGTAGTTGTTAAATAGGAGCAGGAAGAAAGGTTGTCAGAAGCAAGCCATCTCCCAGAAAAACAAAATTTATCAAAAAAACTCAGGCCCAGTGAAAATAAGTTGCCTTTTCAGCTTATTCCCATCCCAGCAGTTCAGTGCCACATTCCCATTTAATACCTGAAACAGATGTTAGAAGTTTCACTCCCCCCACACTCCCATATCAGCATCCCTATTCTTCATCTCTGATGCACTCACATATTTTCATGGTCAGAAAAATACAAAATACTCTGCCTCCCTTCAACTTGCTACTGTTCTCAGTACTTGTCACAGTCACATTTAGCAGTCACATGCTGTGCTGAATGTGCTGAAATACAATGACACAGGTGATCAGATCATTCCTAACAGCAGCACCTGTACAGCAAAAACAACAGGTGAAGGAGAGATGTTATTAACAGGTTATAAAGGCTGGCTAGAATACAGAACAGTAAGTGCAACTTCATTTTCCATAGGGCTTTCAGAGCTGAAGGCAGCAAGCTGAGATTTGCTTCATTTTTGAAGCATGCGCTAATCAATGAGAGCTCATCTGATCTTCCTTACTTTATTTGAAAAGGAAGTTCAGCTTCCACCTCTGAAAATTTGCATTCTGCTTTTTAAGCAACTCTGTGGGCGGTCAATCCATGTAGCAACTAGACTGACAGATGCCAAATGAACAGTAGAGCCTACACCTCAAAGGATCTGAAACACACCAACCGTGTTCCAGCACCAGTCCAACCAAAATGCATAACTTATGCTACTGCTATAAGTTAAGTCATCCCTGTAGTATGAGGGGAGCCAACAGCTTACATAAAACAGCCTCGAGGAACAGAGTGCTGGTGCAAAGAGCTACAAGACAATTCTCAGAGAAGCAGTCAAAACAGCTGATCCTGCTGCATGTGGAAAGCAGCCTTTTGTGGGCTGGGATATACTGAGCTGGGCATTATTTATCCCATTAATTTGTCTCATAAAAACCATCAGAAATGTAATACTGCCAAGAAGCAAAGCTGCTTTATCTACTAGGCTGCAGAAGAATAAGAACCATTGGTAGCTCACCAGCCAGCAGTTCTGTGGTGCATTACAAACAGCCATCCTTGCTACGGAGTGTGTGCACACACTGCCAACATTTGGGGGTGGAATCAATGCTATGGAGTGTGTGCACACTGCCAACATTTGGGGCTGCAGAGGTTCTCAGACCACATCTTAAAAGAGTATTTCCCACAGAAGAGAGAACCAGAGCTGTGTACCCACAAATAGTATAGCATATTAAAGATTGGATAAGAAAAGGAAAAAATCCTGGTCTCAGTAGCAAGGCCAAGATAAAACCAGTATCTACTAGGCAGACTAGCAATTCAAAGCACGTAGATTAGTCCAGCAGCTAACAGGTGTACCTTTTATACTGTCCCAACACAAACAGAATGAGTTAAGGAACTGAGGCCAAGTATATTATGTGACAGCAGTGGAAAGAACCCAAAGCTTGTGGAGGAGCAGTTATCTACAGCGGACTCAGTGAAAAGTGGTTCCTTAACTTTGTCATCTAGAATAGTGAGGACTGTATCTGATGTTAGTTTAATCAAACCCAGACAGTGTTCTTGGAACATTCTTTAGAACACAAAGCATTCTAAAGATCTGAAGTCCTTTTGTATCATATAAACACCTACCCAGGTAAAAATCAAATTAGAGGATGCTCAGTGCTCTTAGGAAATCTTCCATTTTATCTGGGAATTTTCTTCATTACATGTAACTTTGCATAACAGTCTAAATATTGACAACAGCAAAGCCCATAACTAAAATAACCAAACCACTCTTTTGAACAACAGACAAAAACAGGGATATGAATTCACTAAGAGAATTAGTTTACAATTATGATTTTTTTTTTTAGTCTAATGAAATGATTGTTTTGGTTCTAATGCATGTGTGTCACCTTTCAAACATGCATCATGGGAAAGAGAGTCAAATTAAAAAATGAAAATAAAAATCACTGTACATTAATGAATTATGCATGAAATGAAAAACAGAGTATCTGTGTGACAGGGGTTTTTTGCTGCCATTCCATGTTTAAAATATCCAACTGCTTATAAAAACCATCACTCTTCAAAATGAGCCGAAATGTTTGAACTTAACAGACCCAGAATAGAGATTTTAAAAACACTACTACAGCTTTAGTCGTTTCACAATACTTTCACAGGAAAATCTGTTACTTCACATGAATGGGAGGATTTTCAACTAACAAAAACTTTGAAACTACAGTTAACTGTTCGCACACTATGAATTTAAAACAGCTGAAGGAAGGATTCAGCCTTGAATCAACTCTTTATAATGAAATTATGAATCAGTGTGAGGCAAAGAAACCAAACAATTAAGGTTTTTATTTCTATATTTAAAAATATTTTAAAAATAATTTAATGAGGAGAGGGGTCGTACTCTCTCCAAATTCAAGTATCTACCACTGTCTGCGACAAAGAAATTTGAAGCGACTTCATGTGCCCTTCTTTCACCAAAGCAAGGTAGCACCACAACCCTGTGAACCACAGTAAGGTCCCTAAAGTCAACTGGCCTCCACACAGAAGTAGAGGTCTGCAATTCCAGTTGTACAGGCAGGGACAGGTCCGTCATCAAAACTTGCACTTAAACAGGCAAAATAACTCATTTAAACCAACTTCTTTCTATATTTGAGAAATGTGTTCAACATATAAAATTGCACCTGGTAATCCCCTGAAAAGAATTACTGGTACTGTTATACCAACTATCTCTAATTAAGAACAGATCAATTTATTCCTTAACCAATCTGGATTTTTTTAAATTCACCTAACAGAATTATTAAAATACTTAAGGAAACATGATTTCCTTTATGAATAATTCAGGCAGATTTTTAAAAGTGTGAACAAAAAATTGCTTTTATTGTAACAGTCATACACTTTGAAAAATGCAGCAAGAAAATTTCAACTGTCAGGATAATCTGTAATGACCACAAACCTACAGAGGCCAAAAGTATTTGATGTGACAACTTAGGGACAGGGAAAGCAAGAGATGAGAGGTGGTAATTATTGTTATTAGATATGGATAACATAAAGTACATACTGTACAACAAAAACTATTCAATTAGGCACAATTTGATAATATGAACACAAGTTGGAGACTACAATGTTAGATAAATGAAATATCATGGAGTTGACAAAATGAGAACTTACAGTCTAGTCAAAGCAGACAGAAATTTTCATAACCTTTTGACCAAAAGTGGTCAGCACAATTAGAAGTAACAGGAGAAGGAATGAGATGGTTGACCTATTGTGGCTCATATAAAAAAGGCTACATTTTTAAATTGAACAGCTACAGCTATTTGTCATATAAAAGTAAAAGCACTCTCAACATTTGTAGGTCTTTTGCACTATAGTTTCAAAAAAAACTGGATAGTGCAAAGTTGTGTAATAGTAAATTGCTTTGGAATTAAAAAAAAAAAGGCAGGGGACGACATACAGATAAAAACAGACAAACACAGAATCTTACTGTTTCACACTTCCATCACCAGTTATCTAGATATCATGAATGGAAAGGAAACATTGCTAAAAATATGATCTCACAATCAGAACAAGCATGTGGCTGTAACAGAAAGATGAGGGTACAAGTCCTCTCATTCATCCCCAGCAGAAAGAGTCAAGTCACTCGATAATATATCGGTGCCCAATTTTAAAAACTAGCCAGTGACCTTAGAGGAAAAACAAAAAAAATTATGTTATCATATACTTAAACAAGTGTCACTTCTACATGCATGACCACAGGATGAAGCAAACAGTCCTCCTGTTTTCTTTTCACAACTTTGTACACGACGACTTTCAGTAACAGGAGAGACTGAACAAGTTATTGTTTCACACACTTCATTCTGTGGTAACACAGAAATTAACCTGAACCACAACCAGATAACTCAGTGCTGAGCACTGTTTAACACAGATCATGTAATATGCTCCTTACTTCTATTTCTGCAGACTCCACACGATTTTCAACAATCTCAATGCACTGTCTCTTCACTGGCGGTTCTTCGCTTATCACAGTTTCTTCAGCAATGTCTGTTGCTGGCACTGTTAATACTGAAAACATATGTGTACATGTAAATACATTCACTTCAAACAACATTTGCACTACGTAAAACTCATGTTACTTAAGTAATTTTATTAACGGCAATAAAATGCAGAGACTTTTCCTTTTGAAAACACAGCTATATAATAAAGTGCATTATAAAATCAGTGTGGTGAAAATTTTTACTAAAATTTTAGCTGCTGGTACGCTACTAAAGGATTTAAAAATTGCTCGTTACTGAGCTCTACAGTCTCCAGTGTACAACTCTCCAAGCTTCACACTGGCAGCCCTTAAGAAGAAACCAGAGGAGGAATCATTTTTATCTAAGTAGTGGTGGCAAAGACATCACCCTAAACATACACATTGCAGGATAGCACTTATCACACTAGCAGGTTCTACAGAGTACATATGGCCCAACAGGAACATTTGTGTCACCCTGGCTTTCACTGGTTCTGTCACTGCTGCTCTTAACAGGACAAATGTCAAGTTTTAGAACACACTCTATGGGATTTGCACAGCTTGCTTCGTGCATCAGATTTCTAAATCCAAGCCTCAGCTCCCCACAGTATTTCTGGTAAGGTAGCATGAGGACTGGAAGAAGGTTTTATTTTACCCCACCTTCTAGTTTTCATAAGTTGGCGAGAATCAAACTTACTGAAGGCAAAGTAAGGAGTTATCACTTTTTTCTTAAGTGTCCCATTTCTCCTCCATCCAGTTTAGTAATTCTTCCATTCTCTCTCCCAGTGCAGAGACTCAGCTGACATTTGTTAACCCACTGAACTGCAGTAGCTCACATGTTTGAGTCTTCTGTAGTATAAGAATTAGTCGATGTACACAAAATTGTCCAAGCTATTTGCACCTAACAAGTCCTTATTGTTACTGTAACCAAAACAGTTCCTCAAGCTGGAATCAAACAAGTCTGCACTCACCTTGCTGCCCATCTGGCATGGTCACAATGATGGGTTGCCCTATTCCACTGGTTGGAATGGAATGCAGGTTACCCAGCTGAATGCCATCTGTAACTATAGTAATAACCTGCTGACCTCCAGAACTGACAACTTGCTGAATGGCCCCATCCACAGACTCTGCAGTCACAACTTCTTCTGTGGCCACAACTATCAACAGATTAGTGAAGAAATTAAGTCAGTTTATAAATTAAACTTCACAATTTCAAATGCATTTTGGTACATCTGAGAAAAAATTTCTTCCAGAACTTTTTAAATTTAACACTTCCTCCCCAAGTAATACATTACTGCATATTGTATTTTAATAGAAATCTTTCACCAGGTCAACATAAAGCACTCACATTTTGAAAAATACGTGAAACGCTTTCCTGGTCTACCTTGCTTAATATAATAATTTTTTTAGCATTTTGCTAATAGATATACCCCACTCAAAACTGATGCTTTGGGTTCAGTATTAACATGGTAGCAAGAAGAGCTACTTCTAAGAACACAAATAACTTTTACTTATAAATAAATAAGTTGGACTAAGTTACACTAAGAGTGGAATTAAGAAAAAAAAATTAAACTTGAAGTTCTACCTTGAAACTACTTCTCAACCAATGCCTTGCCACCTGTACATCAGGACCCAGCACAGACTTCTTCGCTTAACATAATGGTTTTTAAGATGGTAAAAAACTGAAGGACCTCTACAGAATCTCAGAGCTTTGTCTGTACTACATGAGTAACTTCAAACACACCCACAACTTTATTATACAAAGTATGAAACAAGACTAAAGCTGACAGTTTTACATATTTGAAGAAGAAAAATAAAGCTTAGAAAGTAAAACAAACATTGCATGTGTATAATTTTATAGGTAAAAAATTCCAGCTCAACTATCTATTTCAAATTCATGATTTGACAATGAGTACAGAACAGGGAACTCTCACAGTTCTGTAAAAGAAGGGAAGATAAGGAAAGGCTTCATTCAGAACTACAACACAAACCACAGCTTGCACACTATGCTGCAACTTGGGTTTGTGGTACCACCCTTATTTTTTAAAACAACAAGATACTGAGACAAAGAGCAAGATCACTCATAGCACAATCAAAGAAATTCAAGCACACTAACTCTGTATTTTATTTTCAATTTCTCAGGGTAAAAGCAAAGCCTTTGATTAAAATAACAGACATTAGAGTGCTTTCTATCTACAGAGATGAAATTAAAACCCTATAGACCTGTGTTGTGATGTTCAAGATGAGAGAAGGCAGATAAAACCCTGAAGCTTTCATCTTTTAAGTTAATTACAATATAACATACAGAGAAAAATCACTCTGTAGTTTAAATAATGACTGCAGTCATTGTCTTCTGAGGATCTTTATGTTCAGAGATTACTGTCCTATAGCACTGCTTAAATATTCACAGAGTGTTTATTCAGTAAACCAAAACAGCAAGTCCCTCATGAATAAGTGGTGTTGTACTGAACTCTATTTGGCTTCCAAGCACAGGCTCAGCAGTAAGAAAGAGCACTGTCACAAAAAAGTCCCAGTTGCAAGTGCCAATACTAGGTGCTGTGGCAAACAGCTCTGATCTTTTTCTGTTTCAAATTCAGTGTTGGGGTTTTAGTTCTGAAAGGAAACATTGCAAGGACTTTTTCAAACCTTCAAAGAAAAGTGGAGATTTTGTCTAAAGAGAAGCTAATCTATATAAAAGAAAAATAGCCCCATAAATATGGTCATTATTCATTCCTTGCTTTTGTACCTATATCCATATAAGCATTGTTCACTATGCCACAGGAAAGTTGAATTCTATGTACTTTTCATTATTAAATTAGGTTAAATGCTTTCTAACCTGGTGTTTCCGAAGAATTAGACAGTGGAGCTGATGCTTCTGCTAAAGCTGCCAACGTAGCTAACACTGATGTTGATGAATTTCCAAACTGTACAGCAGACATTCCTGTTTCATCTAGTAGGATGAAAAAAGTTAGCTGATATATTTAAAACCAGTGAAGTCCCTTTTTCTATTATTATTGCACTGAAGCTTCTAACACACACCTCATTTTCAGCAGCATTCTGCTGAACCTAGGTGCTATTCTGAAGCTGAGTTTGTTAGGCAAGTACAACTTCTGATAATTTAGCTCTGTGAAGATTGCTGTTTTAGGCACATACGTATTTACAACACATAAAAAACACTGAAGAGGAACACGGTGACTTATTCTTACAACCGTTTTTCCTCAAAGCTTTTCACTAAGCGTGAAAATCAAAGCATAAAATCCCACTGGCTATCCTATAGGCTTCTGAATACCTGTTCCACTGGATGTATCTGTAAAAGATACCAGACCTGTTAGGTTCACCACCCCTCCAGGTCCAATGATGAACTGCGGTGTTGCCGCGTGTATCGTCAGAGTGTCCGGGCTCTCTGGGTTTGTGTTGATTTGGTTCTGCATTGCAATCTAGGAGATAAAGGCAATCATATCATTCCAACTGCAGGCATAAAGAAGTTATTTACCTTGTGTAAGAGCTAGAATTATTGCACATTCCACAAAAACAGGGAGATCTCCCTCATTATACTCATGCAATACACACACATCATGTCACGTCTCCAAGTACATACACTTTTTCTTGACAGAAATTGAAAGACAAAAAGTGTAAAAACATACCACTACTTCTCCCTACCATTTACTGTAAATAGAGGACCACATAAAGACAAGGCCCTTTTGCAGATATGCAAGCTCACATATCCAAAACAGAAGCCTAAAGAACCAAGACTGATGGGGCAGACACAGGTTCATGAAAATCTGCTCTGACAGCTTAGCAATTGCTATGAATTGTATATGGCAGTGTCCTTTTTGTCTTTCTTTGAATTATTATTAACTTCTCTTTATCATACCCTTTCTGCAACGAAGAGCAGGCTAAAGTGACAGACCAGAAGTTCAGACAGTTACAGATGTAGGGAAGCTACAGATTTATACAGTTGCATAATGGTATTTTTCATTTGCTTTCTATTATTTTCTCAATAATGCTTATCACTTATTTTGCCTTTAACAATAGTACTGAACAGTGAGCACACGTTTCCATGGAAGTATCTATTATAATCCTGAATACAATCACTTCTCCAACAATTCAATCCTAGCTTTTCTACTACTAGAAAAACTGTCATCTCTCTTGTCTTGATCTCCAATTGTTAGGAAATTAATATCCATATAGGAAGCTAACTGAACACTAGGGTATAGTCAAAATATTCTGTCAGAGTAGGGAGTTCATTTTTTACACCTCGGTTGTGAAGAGTCCACCTAGTTCTGTGTATTACAACCCTGAAATTTAAGAAAATAAAGGATACATATCCTTGATTTTGTAGGTGATGAAAATGTTCTTCAGCCAAGTAATGTTTACTGACATTAATCTCATCTCCATGTACTGAAGCAGACTAGAGTTTGGCATTATCAGTCATTATATAGTGTCTCAACTGCTACATTAAAAGCTTAGTTTATGACATATGCAATCAAGTACAGGAATCAAAAGTTACCTGTAATATTTCTGCAATGTCTTCATTCCCATTGTCTACTGCAATATCTAATGCTGTTTTGCAAAATTTACTCTGAGCATGAACATCTGCTCCATATTTTATCAAGAGTTCTACAACTTCTTGGTGGTGATGCTCAGCAGCCCAGTGAAGTGCAGTCATTTTGAGCATGTCCTTCGCATTGACATCAGCACCATGCTACAAACAAGATCATTGCATAAGCTATGTCATTAGAAGTATCTGAACAGAATGAAGCCCAAAATTGTCCTTTCTCCACCAGGAATGCCTTGTCATCTTACATTTATAAATTTACTGAAAGTACTTCAACCTAACTACCAAATAAAGTATTTACTTCAAAGGATTAAAGATTCCCTAAAACATATCTCAGTTTAAAAATCTCTTACTAAACACAATGTCAAATTAGGGAGTAGACTTACTTTGAAACAGCAGTAAATAATTCACCTGAAATCATCATGACTTTAATGCTAAAATAAATTACAGCTTAAGGGAAAACAAAGCTCCCAATGCACACAGTATAACTGTTCACGTAATTTCAATCTTAGTTTCATGACTAAAAGAAATTTGTAAACATCGGATTGTTAACCATTGCAATATTCCCACCTCAGACTTGTTTCAGCAGTTCTCACCTTAAGTAAGACTTCTACTATGCTGGCATGGCCTTCTGATGCTGCCATATGTAAGGGAGTTCTGTCCACTTTGGTTCTGGCATCCCGACTCACACCCGCTCGCAGCAACACCTCTGTGGTTGAGTAGTGCCCATACTGTGCTGCCAGATGAAGTGGAGATGTTCCCAGCTGGAGTGCAACAGAAAATGTGGAGTTTAACAGATGCCAGTACTTCTTATTCTGGAGCTATCAAACCCAGGTATCAAGCCACCACTTCAAAATCATTCTCCCTTGCAGTCTCAAGGAAAGATGCTGTTGGGGCTTTTACAGAATATGAAGAGGAGGAGGGAAAGTTTGTTCTTGTTTTCCTTTTTCTGTGTTTTTTCTGTCTTTATGAAGTGTAACATTTCAAGGGGCCTAATCCCATTTTTGATGTTGGTCAACACACCATACCAACATTGGAAGGGACCTTTGGAAGTCACTTAAGTCCAATCTCCTGCTCAAAACAGAGTTAATTTGAAAGTTAGGTCACTAAGCAGATTAAGGCTCTTAAGATCTTATAAATACCCTGAGAATTTTAGGTACCTGACCTCCCTATACAACCTATTCAATAATATGCACCTCTGAAAGACAACTCAGAGCCCCTGTATTGGGGAACTCTCAGCTGCACACATTAAGCAGTTGGCACTGCTTTCATAATTCAGACCTCTTACTACATTAAAGGCATAAACACAATAACTAGAAGGATGATTATTGCTTTCTTCCATTAACAGCTCCAAAGTTCATCTTAAAAGTCACCAGAATGAGCTCATTCACAGTCTGTTACTAAAATCAGTAGGAGGTCATATGAAGAAACAGGCAATTTTAATTTCTAATTAGACATTAGATGATGTGACTATAGAATTGCAAGAAGAATTGCAATGCAAATGCTTAATTGTAACAATACTATTTTCTTCTTCACATGAGAAAAGTAAGATGATCTACCAAACACTGCAAAAGTTTTCATTACCCAGTCTGTGGTAAAAGGTGCTCCATTTGCCATCAAAATGCGAACTTCGTCATCTTGACCTGCTCGTGCAGCTTCTAAAAGTTTCTTTCCCAAATCTACTAGTGACATCTAGTGAAGGACAGAAAGGAATATAAAGGCAAAACAAAAACATTAATACTACTTTAAGTACCTACATGTTGCCTTTTTTTTTTTTCAATTATTATTTCTGAACTACTCTGAAAAGTTCAAAAATTGGAGCTGGCATTTTAGCCATGAGAACAAGCTTTGTTGATCACAATAAGCAGCTTCATTTTAGAATTACTTTTGCCAGCCAAACAGAACTGATACTGGGGTGGAGATTTCAGTATTACAATGCTGTAACCACAGCAGCTGTGAAGTTAAACAAATTTTAAACTGAACTGGATGCACATTTCTTATAGCAGAAGGTGGTTTAGAAGCTCTCACCTGATTCTGCAACCTTCTGCAGCTTTGTCCAGCTTTCACAGGTACTACAACGTCGTGGCTGCCGTGTCACACATCCACCCACCCAAAACGCCCACGTGCATTTAAGAGGTGCCACTACGTAAACACGCTGAGATAGATGTGAAACACAACACCTTCCTGACGTCCTGTCCATCACTATTTTTGTTTGCCCTAAAATATAATTTCTGTATTCCCAGATGCAAAATGACAAACAAGCATATTATTGTACTACATACACCAGATGTATGAAGTGTTTGCCTGAAGACAAATATTACTACCTGTTTCAACTGTCCAGTTCCCAAGCAAAGTTTTGAGACAAGACTGAGATACAAACTGAAAAACCTTCCCATCGTGATTAGATAACATCCTTCACAGCCAAGTTCCATATAATACAGAGCAAGCAAACTACAGGTAGACAAATGCCACCTATTTGTTTCTGTTGCATCAAAGATTTCCTAGAAATACACCTTTTTAAACCCACTCTATTTCATACTTACTATTAAATTTGTTCAGTAAAAAAAAAATCTGAACTAAACCATAACACAGGCTGCTAACCAAGACATATCATTACCATTTTATTCCTATAGCTATGTTTTCCACTACTAAGTTGCTAAGAATGGAATTGATTTCATCAGTTTAGTTTCCAGTCACATGCAAAGTAAAGTCTGTATTACTCATAACAGCAGTTGCAAGGCCACGCAGCCAATTTCCTACACAAAGTTAGAGTATATCACTTCAGGAAAGAAATCCTCTTAAACATACACATCTATCACAAAAATAATGTATTTAAAAATTTCTCTGTCACTGGCTCAACTGGGAAACTCTGTGTGGTCCATTGCTCAATAAACTGAAAGCTATGGACTGGACTTTGGAAAAAATTAGAAAGGAAGACCAAAATACTGCAAATGGAGAACTCCAACATGTATCGGTAGGGCCATGAACCAGAGCAGATTACACCTCTTTGTCTATAGAATTGACTGCAGGCAGCAACATCCCTTTCACCAAAATACTCCACTTATGTCCACCCTTCTAGTGCACATGGACATGTTGATTTGTCTCCAGTCAGAAAAGGGAAGAGAAACAGGAAAGTGGCAGGACAGGACAAATACTGACAATGGGAAAAGGAATGAAAAACAGGAGCACAGTCAGATGCAGAGGAAGGGACAACTGCTGTTGAAGAGCAGAAGAGAAAATCTAGGAAAGATCCTGAGGAAAGGAAAAAGAGAAAATCTATCATCCCTGTTACAGAGAGACACTGGGAGTAACAATATAAACTAGTAACAGCATAGAGATGGCATTTGGCAAGTGCAGCAGTGAAATGAAGGAATACAGCACTCCCTTTATATGGTAGGGTTTTTTTTTCCCCTCCAATTGAGGATTGCAATTTAAGAAAGAGAAGAGCACATGCAGACACACATGCTTTTCCTGGTGGTCTAATACCACCACATCAATGTCCTCAGAAGCAAAAGGAAAGCTGGAACTGAATGCAAAATACTAAAGTTATAAACTAGTTCAGAAAGACAACTATGCATTTTCCATGTATTTATTTTTGTTTTAAACAGCAAAGGAACTAATAAAATCTCCTTTTGGAACTGCAGAATAATTGAGGCTGGAGGGGACCCTGAGCTGGCTCAAGGCTTGGTCCTGTTGAGTTTTGAATGTCTATGAATGAACATCCCACCACTTCTTCAGCCTCATTCCAGTGTCCAACTGCACTCACAGCACGAGCTGCCTTCAGTGTACACCCTTCTGTCTCCACTAACCAAAAATACAGTCATGATAACAAGCCTATACTTGATGTCTATTAGACAACAAAAATAGATGAATTAAATTACAGTCCATACATTTAATAACACAACTATTCAGAATGCACTGACCACACCTGTACACCCGTGAAAGAACCTGCCAAGCTGTTATAAAAACCCTATGTTGCAAAAATCAAGCCACCAAAAAAACAAAATCAATGATGGTGGTCTGCAAAATACAACTCATTCCTAGATGTCAGGGACAAACTGCAGCCTGAGATCAACACCTTTTTAGAGCCTCTCTTGAACAATTACTGTTGAGCACACTGTCAGTGCCAGTACACCAGTTGTCATCTCAATGCAAAAATAAACAGCCTTATGTAACACTCAATAAGAAAAGTTCTAATCAAGGAAAAAGATAAACTTTCATTATCACCTATTACTTGCATTAACCAACACTCTCTCGGTTGATATACAATGCTTGTATTTTAAACAAGCACAAAGCATCCCCAAAGTCTGTATATACTTCATGATGCAGAATTTTAACTTCAGTTAAAATGATATGAATTTATTTTAAAAATTAATTAAGTTGCAGTTCTCACGGGGTACTTGGAAGCGTGCTTGGGCCATCTAGTGGAAGAAAGATAAGTTACACTGTTCGACTAAAAATAAAAATCCCATTATGTCACTAATGCACTAACAGCAAACGAAGAGGCCTTTCCAACAAAACCCATGCACACTTAGTCACTTTTAACCAATGCATTCACAAAATTTCCCAGGAGTAGTCAGCCCAAAGCTCATTTCTATTTGGCAGACTGTTCCAAGAACCAGCACTGTGAGGTCAAACCCCTCTGTAATATGCCCTACACTCCTGCACTACCATGACTGGAACATACCAAGAAGGGTCTGCAGTGGGAGAATTTCCTGTTCCAGAAAAATTTTTGAGCTGCTCTCTTGAGATCATTTAGTAACACTACAATAGTGCAGTGATGCTATCACAAGCAAAGTTCTATATATGTAATACAACAATATATTTAAAATTGAAATGAGATGATCATTTCAAAGCAGCACTCTGCTGCTACTCCATAGTGTGTTACAATCAACTCTACTGAACTGTCTTAGAGGGTTCTCTTTCCTGTGTTGTTTCCATCAAGCCTGGCCAGCGTGACAGCTGTGTAACGCTTTACACGAGGACTCTTTCAGAGAATAAAAACATCACTGGCTCTGAAATAGTCTTGAGACTATTATAGTTATTCTTATGGCGATCTGATTGTGTTTTCAGACTTCTAACAGCTCCTACACAATTGTGTGAACAGAGGGTTTTGTCTACAACTGAGTAAATAGGGAAGAGTTTCTGCTGGGTTTGAACTTCTTTGGACTTCCTGAACTTCCACATTTCATTACTGCAATGCATTCTGTACAATATCATTAGCCAGATGCCACAAATAACTGGTAATTAATACTTATATCAAAGTATTATTGTTATTTTACTTCAGTACAATAGAAAATCATACTACTATTCTGCACCCATCTTAAAGTTTTTATACATTCTATAAAACTCTGAAGAGTATACTGTTACCAGAGGGGTATATAATAGCACTCAACAGAAGTATAGGTGAACCTGTGTGTGAAATGGGCTCCACAGAGAGCAAGTGGAGCTGAAAAACATTCAGCTTGGGACACCTGGACTATCACACCACAGCCTACAGACAACAGAGCAGTGGAATCTGCAGGCCAAAGAAAAATTAAGTTTGGCTTAAAATGTTGCAGCATCTTTCAGACTGGTGTCCTGCCACAGGGATCCTGGTCCCAGCCTTGTTCCTCTTCTACCACTGAGTGCTGAGCATCAGCTGCTCAAAATCAACAGGCACAAAACAGCTGCTGCAGAACATCTGCCAACACAGAGATCCTGCAGCTGCCAGCGTGTGTACAAGGTACACTCCTGGAAGAGGCATCCTTCCACTAGAGGAGCACTCAGTGCAACCTACCTGCCTACCTACCTAATAAGGATTTGCAATCATTCCTAAAAACTGCAGCACAAAGTTCCATTAAAGGCTAATTAAATGGGTTTCTCTCCTGAAGTGATACATGGCAGAACTGCACTTGGAAGACTGCTGAAGACCCTTCATCTCCCACATCCATTACATCTGGAAAAAGAACGCCCCTTCAGAATGTCTTTTTCTTTCCACTATTACAAAGATCAACCTACTTCCCCAGACCTGACCTTCAGAAATGCCATCATCCTACTAATTCCAACATCACACATGAGCAGTAATAGCCACTTCTAGCTAATTTTATGTGCCTGTCCATACCAAGGCCAACAATATTTTGAAGCACAGCATATACCAGTTAGCATCACTGAAACACTGGCATGATTTTACCGTACATATCAATTAGCAGCAATTACAGCAACTTGAATGAGATAAGCTCAAAAAGTTCCTGTATTGTTTCCTAAAGGAATCAATTTTGATAACAATTTCACATGTGATACTTCAAATCTTAATGTAAATATCATAGGCTTAGACTATCCACATTTCTATCATGATAGTGAAAATTACACTAATTTGTTAATTGCAGTCAGCTTTAATTCCAATGTTTTCAACTCTCCTCTATGACTTTTTAATTAACTTCTCTTTAGTTTCTTCCAACAGCAACATGACCTTCATGTCACACATGCACCAGATGAAAAATACCTGATCTGAGAAAAGCAAACATTGTTGAACAGCTTAGGGGAGAAGACAGTCAAGCCCATACTAATGCAGGTCTGTCCTCCAATTAGGATCACACATTGATTTAAATAAGCTCTAATCAACAATGCAACTCCCTTAAATAATACAGATGGTAGAAAAGCCTTGTTCTTACAAAGGAGAGCACAAATCTGGCCATTATCTGCAACACCTAAAGAGTGTTACACAACAAGGGTGAACCACTGGCACCAAGATTTGGGTTGGCACTGCCAACAAGCTACAAAGCTTTCACAAGTAAGTTTGGCACTGGATATCAAGAAGGTTACTTTACAGCAGCTACGATCGACATGAAGGATCTAAGTGCTTGCAATGTAGCCTTTGAACTGTACTACTGCCTTAAGAGGATGTCTCAGATTAATTGAAACTTGAAATACCGTTAAATAAGTCATCCACCTTCCAACTACAGCATCCATTATATCAGGAAGAATCTTCCTCGACAGTTTCTGTCTAGCACATAGGCCTAAAAAAAACCCAACTAGAAAACAAAGTGATTTCAGCAAAGAAAGTGGGTCACGAACAAGAGTCTCTACCTAGTGTGTGCTGATCTGCCACGTACACCCTTAACCTCACTCACACAGCAGACTGAGGTTCCCTCACAAGTACTTCTGTGGGCACACACAGCTCAACCAAACTGCTTAGTCTCAGTAATACTTCAGAAGTAATGAATAACTTAAAAGCAAACAGGCTAAAGAACGACAGGGTGTGCATTCACAACTCTAAACACATTTAACTCTACTATGCAGCATTCCCCACTAAACATAAGCTATCTCAGTAAGCAGGTTAAAGGAAAACATAGAAATGCTTCAAGAACTGTAAGCACAGACGACTTCCTACAAGGGACTTCACCAGTGCCCCACCAACGGAAACTACTTTGACTACCAGGGGAGAACAGGAAAAAGAGTCCGCACTAAAACACCTCATCCCACGTTTATGTTCCCACCATACGCTTTATTAAGAGTCCAAAGCACGAGTTACAGACTCCGGGCGAGGGGCACTGCGGCAGGGAAGCGCTGCCGTCCCGCCCGAGCCGCCTCTCCCCGGGGCACCTTTGGCGCCAAGCTCGGGCTCGCAGCTCGGCCGCGCCGGGGGCGCCGGGCCGGGGCCCGGACCGACCACCCGCCCCCCGCGGGGCCCGGGGCCGTCCTCACGCGGCCCACACGGCGCTGCCCGGCGGGCAGAGCCGCGGGACGAGCCGGGCTCCGCTCTGCCCCTCGGCCCCCGGGCCCCTCGCCGCGGCCCCGCGGGCCGCCCAGGCCGCCGCCGCGGCCCTGCCCGCCGCCCGCGCCCCCCGCGCCGCGGGGTCCCCGGAAGGCCGGCCGGCCGCCCGCTCTCCCCGACAGGAAATCCTGGCTGGGCTGGGCGCTGCGGAGGGAGCCGCGGCGCCGGGTTCCGGGGGAAGTGGAATTATTTTTTACCAGCGAAGAGATCAACTTCCACATCCGGTAACAGGGCCCTATACAAAGGCGCAGACTGACCTGGAAAAGCTTGGCCGGCCCGGGGGGGGTGAGGGAGAGACGGGGCGCGGGGACGGGCCCTTACCGTGCTGCCGGCCCGGCCGCCGCCGCCGCGCCGACCCGGGGCTCCGCAGGCCGAGAGCCCCACACGGGAGTCCGCGCCGCGCCCGGCGGAGGGACACGGCGGGCGGAGGGAGTGGCGCGGCCCCGCGCGGCGCTGTGCGGCCGCGGGCGCGCGGGCGGGCGCGAGGCGGCGCGGGGCGGCCCGGGCCGGCCCGGAGGGGCTCCGGGCACTTACCATGGGCGCGGGGATTACCTTATTAACACACACATCGAGGGGCACGGGCCGCGCGGAGGGATACGGCCTCGCCGCCGCGCGCCGCGCATGCGCGCCGCCGCGGGGAAAGGCGGGGAAGCGCGGGCTGGAGGGGCCCCGCCATGTTCCGTCCCGCCGCCCGCGCCGGGCCCGCCCTGCCCCTGCCGGGCGGGCGGCGGGACGGGGGCGGCCTCCCGAGAGGCGGCTCGAGGCATGAGGACGGGGGGAGCTATCCTGGGCTCCCCTGTGCCACAGGGCGGCCGGGGTTGCGCTTCCCGCCTCACGGTTGCTAGGGATGTACTGGGTGTCCTGTCTGAGCACCAGCTTCGCTGCCTTGCCTGCCCTGAGCAGGGCTTTACATAGAATCACAGAGTCTACTCGGCTGGAAAAGATCTCCGAGGTCGTTGAGTCCAACCTGTGAATGAACACCACCTTGTCAACTAGACCATGCCGCTGTCATGCCCAGTCGTAAACACCTCCAGCGATGGTGTCCACCACCTCCCTGGGCAGCCCATTCCAATGTTTAATCACACCTTCTGGGAAAAAATGTTTCCTAATGTCCAACCTAAACCTCCCATGGTGCAGCTTGACTATCCTCTCATCCTGTCATTGTTGCCTGAGAGAGGAGCTCGACCCCCACCTGGCTACACCCTCCTGTCAGGGAGCTGTAGAGTGATAAGGTCTCCCCTGAATCTTCTTTTCTCCAGGACTGGCAGTGCCCACTGCGGTGCTGCAGTACCTGTGATTTGAGTTGGGCTACGGGCAGGAATTCTTGTCAGCTGTTTTTCCTGGGCCTGCTCAGCCAGAGGGCGGCAGTAGAGAACAAGTCCAAACACCTCTGGGCTGCCCCTTGTCACCAGGGCATAGAAACCTTAAATCCAGCCTCCAGCACATCTCTTTTTCCTGGTTGGCAAGTGTCTGTGTCTTTCAACAAGCGTTTAGCTCGTCCTCTTACAACCGTTCATTTACACAGCAGCAGTAGATACAGAAAATGTTACAATGTGCTCACAGGAGCGTGCCACCAAACAGGAACACTCGGTGGTGGTGGCTGCAGTGCTATGGGAAAGTCAAACTTTTCATATTAATGACAGTCTTTCAATAGGGGTGAAGATTGCAGCCTGCACTTAGTCCATTAGCACTGTATTTCACTTTTCATTATTATGATATCATAATATTATAATAATCATGTCTGGTTTTTTTACAGGATTCACAAAAAGTACATGTTAGAGAGAGACATTGCATGTCTGATGTAGGCAAGTGGGAACACATTTCACATCTGTAAAATACCTGGTTTCTACTCCTCTATTTTCCTCCACTTTAGAAGACTGTAATGTTTTTGTTAGCTAAATAATCTAATACATTCTATTAGAAAGCACACTGATTTCTACTGTTTAAAATTCTTCTATTTATTTGTTCAATACTACTACACAAGAATATACCTGCTGATAGGAAAATGTGTTCTAACCCAGGGCAACCACAGCATGTTATAACGCAGTCGATGTATTAGCACGTTTTAACAAGTTCTGGAGTGGGGTAAAGCCGATTGCACAGGCAGGTCCTGCCCAACACCTTTCAATAAATGGCTGGGGTTTGCCCATACACGACCAAAGATTTTATGACACAATTTGTTCATATAAGAGAAACAATAAAAGGGATTCTCTGAGTCCAGTTTAGAGAGCAGCAGGTATGATATTCAACATTAATTTGGACACTTACATCCCAAGCTCTGACATTAGCGGACTTACTCCTTTCATCCTATCATAACTTTCTGGCGTGACCCATCCTGGTTAAAACACACAGAGCAGGTCTGAAAAAGGCACTTTGAAGAGCATGGTGTTATTAATATTATTCAGTTCAGTGTAATGTTGTTGGAGTATATAAACTTTGGTATTAACCCCTCTGAGTGCACGACATAGACCTCTTTTCATTTCTCCCAGAACCTTTCACATGCCTACACCTACTGCAAATTAGAGATGGGGGATATTGGTTGAGCCTTTTGAGTGCCCCGTGCCAGCCAACGTTACTGTATCACTAAGTGCTGTGATACAATTCAGCCTTCTGGGCAATGAATTGGTAGTATTTTGGAAGGCTACATGGAGACAGACATCTTTCTCATTTGGCTTCATGACCTCCCTGTTTTATAAAGTGGCTGAAGGAGACTGCTCCAGTTCACAAAACATTTCCATTGGCAAAACGAAGCAGTAGGTTGAAGTGACTGAATCCCCCCCATCACTGACACAGTTCGGGGGCAGGCCAGGACTGTGGCAGCACAGAGCATCTTTCAGTTTGTGTAAGATCTCCATGGCACCACCTGCCTCTCGCCTCCTTTCTCCCAGCATGTCAGCACATACCTGGCATCCCTGAGGTATGAACGCTTGTAATAACATCACAAGGTGCACAGGAAACACAGTCACAACGAAAAACGAGATCTAAACTCGCGATGTCCCCTGTCAATCCAGTTTTCTCTAGACAAAAACCAGGATATTTCTATAAGGAGACTTGCCTTCCCACACCTGATCGCACAGTACAGCAGTGGGCCAGTCTAACAGCCCATACAAAGGCTGGACGCCTCACAGAACGTGACAGACCCCAGAGCCCGCTCGTAGTGGCTTGGCCTTGGTAACAAATCTCCCGAGGCCAGGCGGGGCACGGGGCGGGCAGGGCACGGCGGGGCGCTGCCCCGCGCTCTCCGGGCCAGGCGGGTGGCGTTGGGCCGAGGTGACCCGTCTGTCCCTCCCCTCCTCGCTCCACCGCCACCCCCGCAGCTCCACGGCGGCTGTGGGTCCGTGTCCCCGCCCGACCCAGCGCGGCCGCGCCCCGCAGCTCCCTCAGGACACAGGCCAGGCCCCCGCCGCGGCCCGAGCCCGGCCCCGCGGCCCGGATAGGGCCGTGAGAGTCCCGCCCCCGCGGGGAGCCGGGCCCGGCAGGGAGGGACGGAGGGAGGGACGGTCGCCGCCGAGTTCCGCCCCAGCAGCCATGGCCGCGTAGCGTCTCCTCGGCAGCCGCGCTCGGACATGGGCCTGCCCCGGGCCGGCGGGCGGAGGCAGCGAGTCCCCGCGGCGGTGAGTGCGCGGCCGGGCCGGCGGGGAGCGGGACAGCGGCGGGGGGTGACGGGCGGCCTCGGGGGGAGCCGCGGGCCCAGCCCCGTGCCGGGGAGGGGGCGGCCCTCGAGGGGCTGCGGCGGGCGGGGATCCGCTCCGGGCCGCGCGGGGGGATCGGGCCTGGCCCGGCCCGGGGCCGGCGGTGTGACCTTGGGCGGCCCGCAGTCCCCCGGCCTGAGCCCGGCCGGGGTGGCGAGTGAGTGGGGCCGGGGCAGCCGCCGCGGAGCCCGGGAGCGGCCGGAGGAAGATGGCAGGGAAGCGGCGCTTCCCAGAGTGCTGCACTCCTGCGGTGTCATGGAGACCGCCACGGCCCCGGCCGCCGCAGCGCTATTGACCGCCCGGTCATAAACTTGGGGGAGTTCTCTGCCTCTCTGCGACCTCTCCGGCTTCTTATTACCGCTGCTGTTTGCGTACTCCTTGCAGATGTTCGTTTATCTAAACAAGAAGTGGAGCTATTTGTGTTCTTTCATAGATTGAGTAACTTTTAAACTTCCTGGAGAAAATTCAGCATATTTTTTAAAAGAAACTTTATAGTATCTTCTGCACCGCTTCAGTGTCAGGTAAATTGGTGGATGAAGGAGCTGTCAAAGGGTTTTCTCACTGCGGGGAGAGTCGTTCCCAGGCCTGGTGGGGCAGGTTTGAGCACCTCCATGGCCAGAGACAGACCCTGTGCTGTGTTGCTGCCCTGTGACTGGTGGTGACCAACACAGTGGTGAAAGTTTGGCTACTCTGTGAGCGTAATGGGCTTGCTATAAGAAGCCCCAATGGTTATAATCAACCTACGCACATTAGGTTACAATACCAGGGCCTGGAAGAGAGCTAGAGGCCTCACAGAGCTAAATATGCTGGTGGGTTTGTAGTTCAATCATCTTAAAATTCTGTTTATCTCTAGAC